AACTGTAAGCAAAGCAAGCACATTAGAGTCATGTGGATGTAATGTCAGTTTATCCCTCAAATGCATTTCCATCTTTCATTATTCACATTAACGCTTTATTTGCCCAAAACCAAAACCTCAAGCGAAGAGCATAGAATCGCCAAGAGGCGACACTCTTGTGCAATTTGGGAAACAGCCACTAGATGGCGTGGCGGCCATTTTGGAATGAAAACTCCAATAGAGCAACAGCAGATTATAAGTCTGTTAAATAAACTATTCAAAGTGCTGATGATTGTGATAGTAGGTGTTGTATTGTCGTCTTTCAGGTTGTATCTCAGCTTTGATGTGCTTTTTAAATAAATAAATAAAAAATAAAGCAGCTGCTTGCCATTGCGACAGCAATAAGATCCAATAAACAGCCGACCACTTTCACTCCAAAATGGCAGAATCCGGGACTGTTGCTGGGCGCTGCTGTTGCAATGGAACGTTCTATTGAGTGTCACCTCTTGGTCATTCTAAGCTCTTTGCCTCAAGTATGAGTTAAGGAATTTTCATCTCTCGATTTTCATGCCATACTTTAAAATGTGCATCAACACAGGGTGGTTGAAAATCAGCTACTAATGTTCTGGTTATAGGCTACACTAAAGATTAAGCTTCCAAAATGCTGTCGTTGTTGTTTTGCTGAAATTCCAAAGAACTGTCAGAGAATAAATATTAAAAGAACCGTTTTTGCTAATGTAATGAATAGGGATGTAACGGTATTGTAAATACCGTCATACCGCAATATAAATTTTTTTCGATATTACCGTAGTCGCATGACTCGGTAAAACTATAGGTCTTCTGAGAAAATTTGCTCAGGTGAATGAAGCGAACGGGAGGTACCGGAAACTACAATTCCCATCAGCCCAGGCTTGGCCATAATCCCTTGCGGTCTGTTGTCGCTACAGATCCAGTAATGCGGAAATGGAGTGTGCTGCTAGAAGCGGGGATGAAAAAGCGCTGGAAAACCCTAAAGCGGGTATTGTCGCCGCGCGCGTACTGAATAGCGGTGTTGTCGCGCGAGTTCTTATCAGCTGTGTTGTCGCGCGCGTACTGTAAAGCTTTTGATCATTTTGGAAGGGCATTTTCTATCCAAGACTAAAAAGGGCATGTGCACTGCACAGGTTGAGCCCTATGTGTGCACGTGCCTGCAAGTTGGGGAATACGACTAATAACAGTCATGGGGACTGCAGAAACACAGCACACTGTTCAGATTGATGCAGAGACCTCTATCTCACTCATGGTTTGTCCTCTCAAGTGGGGGAAAGACAATGCACAACGTTACCCACTGCTGTCAACCTGGGCCAAGTCATATCTCTGTCCCAGAATCCTCAGTCCCAAATGAGAGGGGTTTTTTTCTGTTGCAGGGGACATTGTAAATACCCAGAGATACCAGCTTTTACCAGATTATATTTATATGATAATTTCCCTTTAAACCCATCTCTATCTAAGTGAGAGAGTGATTAAATGTTGAATGTGATGAGTTTTCAACAATACTAAATTGAAACTTAATTTTTTTACATGGTTTAATATTTTTTTGTTATTAAAATTGAAGTTCCTGTTTCAAAGCTTACAGATAGATGGCTAATTTGTATGTCATTGACACTTTTGGCACTTTTTTGGAGTATTTTCATAAGTTATGTTTTTCCTGTAAATGATTCAATAAATACCGTACCGTGACATTCATACCGAGGTATTACCGTACCGTGAAATTCTGATACCGTTACATCCCTAGTAATGAACATTTTGCATCACTTTATTTTAAATTAAGTTCATGCTGTTATCCATTCACAGTTCATGCTGTTATCCAACCATCAATCAAGACTATTACCTCAATAAACTACTAATTATCTGCCTATTGTCAGTAAGGTTGTAGTTGGGGTTATGTTTTAGCTAGGATTAGGGATGTAGAATAACACTTGATATATTATAAAAAGGCAGATAAAAGACTTTATAACGAGAATTTGGACTTAAAATAAAGTGTTACAGAATATTTGAATTACCTAAAGAAACTTTTTACACCTTAAACCTTATAAATTGTCCAAATTATAAAAACACTAATGCCAATAAAGAACCAATATGTTTATGTGTATGGTATTTTTTGGCTTATTTTAATTAGCATTATTTGAGTTATCATCTATATCTCTGCATTAATTAATTGCTCATCAATAGCACTCCAACTAATTATATTTTATTAGAGTATAACCAAAATAAAACCTTCGATTTTAAAAATATGTTATTAGTACCCAAGAGTTGTGGTGTAGACTTGTTGACCTCTGATACCAAACCCTGTGTCACGAATACTTTCACATGCATGAATTCCCTTCATCATCCTGCCTATCATCATCAATTCATCCCTGTCCTCTTCGTTTGCACTCTGATTGAGAAGTGCTAAGAACTGAGCTCAGCTTTTTTAATATTGAATGGTGGAGACTGTCTCTGGTTCCTCCTCCAAGCATAGCATTGTTCTGAGCAAGCTTCAATGCATATGACACCTGATCTGCTGTCACTTTAGCATGGATCACTGCGCTTTTAATCTGTCCTTTTCTGGGAGGAGTGTCTCTAACCTTGATGCTATTGAACTGGCTTGGGTTATGGACCTGGACACAAGTTTGACCTTTACAGAAGCTGACAAAATTATTTCAAAGATCATTAGAAATTTAAAATGCAATGCTATTTTTAATGATCACCAGCATCCCAAATTTTTTGTGTTTTTAATATTTAGGATATTTAAAATAATGTATGTACAGTTTTACAGCTTTGCGTTATATCATCAAATTACAAAAAATAAAAGCTATTTAACGCTTCTAGGTGTTTGGGCAGGACAGTAAATGTTAAATTCCTCTCTCTTCTTGCTGCCATTTTCAGTCTCGCACTCTTGTGGAGTTTTTCTTTTGTTATTTGAGCAAATTGTAATGCAAAAAAAAATGTTTTGTTAATTATATGTGGATCCTTCAATGCATTAATCACTCAAATTAGCAAACAGTTGTCATGCAATGAACCATGTCACTTAATAAAAAGGGCAAAGAAACCGAAAACATTGACATAATGAAATGGCAGCCCAGTGTCCTAACCTAAACCTGATTGAAAATCTCTAGAAAGTCTTTGGTAACAAAGTAAAGGCTAAGAAACCCACTTTAGTCACATTTCAAGCATGGAAGAAAGTTAATTTAAGTTTGTCCTTTACAGTACAGTGACAATTATTTCACAGACCTTTTTCAACATATGGTAATGCCGTTTTAATGGTCTTCAGCATCCCAAATTTGTGATGTTTTTAATGTTTTATGTGCTTCCTTCCATGCATTAATCACCTAAATCAGAAAGCAGTTGTCATGCAATGAACCACGTCACTTAGTAAAAAGGGCAAAGAAACTGAAAATACTGAAATAATGAAAGGGCAGCCCAGAGTACTGATCTTAACCTGATTGAAAATCTTTAAAAAATCATTGGTGATTGCAATGGCTAAGAAACCCACTTTAGTTAACTTTCAACTGTAGAGGAAAGTTAATTAAAGTTTGTCTTTACAGTAGTTGACAAAATGAATTTACAGATAATTAGCGACTCTTTTAAAAATATGGTAATGCCATTTATAATGGTTATCAGCATCCTAAATTCTTGATGTTTTTAAAATTTCGATTTTTACAAAAATGTATGTTATGTATGTACACTTTTAAAACTATACTTTGCAATATTTCATCAAATTGTAAAAAAAAAAAATCTAGTTAACGCTACTATGAGTTGCTTGGGCAGGTCAGTAAATGTTAAATTATTCTCTCAGCTGGCTGCCATTATCAGTCTCACACATTTTTGAAGTCGTAAAAACACTGACGTGGAGTTTTTGTTTTGTTATTTGAGCAAATTGGAATGCAAAAAATTTATTTGATATTTATATGTGGTTCCTTCCATGCATTAATCACCCAAAATTAGCAAGCAGTTGTCATGCAATGAACCATATCACTTAAAAAAAAGGGCAAAGAAACTGAAAATACTGAAATTATGAAATGGCAGCCCAGAGTCCTGACCTAAACCTGATTGAAAATCTTTAAAAATCATTGGTGATTGCAATGCCTGAGAAACCCACTTTAGTTAACTTTCAACTGTAGAGGAAAGTTAATTTAAGTTTGTCTTTACAGTAGTGGACAAAATGAATTCACAGATAATTAGTGACTCTTTTTAAAATATGGCAGTTGTTATGCAATGAACCATATCACGTATCAAAATGGCCAAAGAAACCGAAAACATTGAAATAAGGGAATGACAGCCCAGAGTCCTGACCTAAACCTGATTGAAAATCTTTTTAAAATCCTTAATGACAAAGTAATGGCTATAAAACCCACTATGGTCAAATTTTAACTGTGGAAGAAAGTTCATTAACGTTTTTTAAACTGCGCTTCAGTATAACAGCATACTCATTTTAGGATTACATCAATTATGACCAAGCAGTTACCTCTAAATATAAGTGTAAGTTGTCCTGTAATTCTAATCCACTGTTCATCAATCATTTCCCAGAAATTGGTTGCGGCTGGAAAGGGCATCTTCTGTTTAAAAACATAAGGCGGAATAGTTGTTGGTTCATTCCGCTGTGCCGACCCCTGATAAATAAGTGACTAAGCCGAAGGAAAATGAATGAATGAATTAATAACAGTGCTTCGTCTGTATGTGTTAGATGCTTGGTGCTGTAAAAAGGAAATGGAGGACCCAGAGGAATGTAAACGCTCTGCTTGTCCACCTGCTACCTTCAGGAAACCTATTTCAGCACACATGGAATCATTTAAGCTGCAGAAGAGAGAAGCTGCTTGTTGTATTGTGTGTGTATTGATGTGACTTGTTTTTGCTGCACCATTCCACTTCCTGCTTTTTATTTAATCCTTCTTTTGCGTCATTCTCTGCCTTTCTGTACACAGTAAAAGAAGTCATGAGAGGAAAAGTGACTTCCTTTTAACAAACCCCTTCCTCTTTCATTGTTTTCTCTCCATCCTCAGCTTCAGCATACGCCGATATCCAATGGGAACAGCCCCATCAACCGAAAAACCCAGATCCATTTGGTTACCCTCATCGCGAAATCCCCCCGCTGGCCAGTTACGCACCTCAGCCTGATTACATGACAGGGGACGATGATCTCATCAAACCCAAAAAGCTGATTAATCCAGTGAAAGCCTCTAAAAGCCACCAGGAGCTTCATCGGGAGTTGCTGTTGAACCATAAAAGGTATGAGAATACACAAGCTTGCAGTACATACACTGTGAATCTGTTTGTGTCGAGACAGCATAAACGAATTAAGTTAACTTATTAGTCTTTACAAATTTAAGTGGATTAAACAAAACAATTGAGTTGTCCCAGAAAAAAATCAAGAATTGTGTAGTTTCAGCTCATTCTAAATAAGTAGTTTGAGCAAACTTAATTGTTGGAGTGTAAACACACTTGCCAGCCTGTGTTTATACTTTGCAGTCTGACAGTAAGCCAAAAATAGAGCGATTGGTGTTTTCCTGTGGACATTTCTGTGAACTAGCATGCGCAAAAGTCCCTCTGGGTGATAATCATCTGCTAAGTGGCTTGTAGCTACATGTACTGTAGTAATACTCACATACAGAAGGAGGAAACAGCCTAAAAATTGTGTAGGTAATTTTATTCATTCATTTATTTACTTACTTATTTAACCAGGAAAGTCCTATTAAGATACAATACCTCTTCTGCAACAGTGTCCTGGTCAAGACAGGCAGCATAGGACAGAGTTACAGAAAAAATACAAATCACAACACCTAGACACACACTCGAAAATAATATAAACCATAATCAGTTACTAAAGCATGTTATTAACACTTATACAGTTGAAATTAGAAGTGTATATACACTATAAAAAAAACGAACATAACCATTTGTTAAAAGGGTCTGATGGTAAATCATACTAAACGTTTACTATTTTAGGTCTGTTAGGATTACCTAAATGATTTACATTTGCTGCATGCCAGAATAATGAGAAAATAAATTTGGAGAGTTTTTTTTTATTAATTTCTAGACAGTCAAAAGTTTACATACATTTATGGTAGTTGCTTTTTTTTTTAGCTTTGCTTTTAAACTGTATATCTTTGGTCAAATGTTTTGGGTATCCTTTCACAAGCTTCTCACAATAGTTTGAAGGAATTTTGGCCCATTCCTCCTGACAGAATTGATGTAACTGATTCAGATTTGTTGGCTTGCTCGCACAAGCTTTTTCAACTCTGCCCACAAATTTTCTTTAGGATTGAGATCAGGGCTTTGTGATGGCCACTCCAAAACATTCACTCTGTGGTCCTTAAAGCACATTTTACCTAATTTGGCAGAATGCTTAGGGTCATGGTCTGTTTAGAAGGCCCATTTGTGGCCAAGTTTTAGTTTCCTGGCTGATGTCTTGAGATGTTGCTTCAGTATTTCTACATAATGTTCTTTCTTCATGATGCCATCTATGCTGAAGTAGACCAGTCCCTCCTGCAGCAAAACAGCCCCACAACATGATGCTGCCGCCCCTATACTCCACAGTTGGGTTGGTGTTCTTAGGCTTGTAAGCTTTCCCCTTTCTCCTCCAAATGCAACATTGGTCATTATGGCAAAACAGTTCAATCTTAGTTCCATCAGAGCACAGCACATGTTTCCAAACATTAGTCTTTTCCCCAGTGTCATTTAGCAAATTGTAATCTGGCTTTGTTGTTGATTCTGGCTTGTTGATTTTCCCATGTTGTCACACAAGGAAGCAGTGTGTTTGAGGTTTCTTAAATACCTTTCTAAAGTTGTGCCTCCAATTAACTCAAATGTTGTCAGTTAGCCAATCAGAAACTTCCAAAACCTTGACACCATCATCTGAGCTTTTTCAGAGGCAGAATAATCTTATTATAAGTAAACTTGACTTTTCAAGAAAAGTTAAAACAATTTCTCAAAAAATATCTCATTATTCTGCTATTGAGCAGAACAGAAACAGATAACCCTAACTTACCTAAAAGAGAAAAAGTTTAGTCATATTAACATCTGACTTTTTGTGTATGTAAACTTCTGGTTTCAACGGTATATCCCTAAAATGTTTAAATCAAGAGTAAACTCTAAGTCTCCAAGTGCAGAGTTAGAAAAACTTTACTTTCTCCTCAGGCATTTTGATTAGCATTTTGCAGTTGCTTGGTAGCAGTGCATTACAATGCCACCCCCCGCTTCTATAATAGCCCTAAATGTGGTAAAGGTGAACACTCACTCTCTGTCTAAGCAGAAGGGTCTAAACCCCTCAGGAATGGGCAACAGAAGCCCCTTTATCCTTCCCTGTGCCTCCATTCCTCTCTTTCCTAGACACTCTGGGAGGTTTAAGATTTAAAGAGCGCGAGGCTCAGCCAATGAAGACCAATTAGAGATTGTGTTCACATCCCACGCGGTTTCTGCCTTGTGTTTTTACACAGGGGATATGAGCACTTATCTAAAGTGGCCGACAATGCAGATCCGGTGACATCAAACCCGACATCCCACTCAGAGTGCTCTTGAATGAATTGTCATTATTAATTGTGAGATTTTAGACAGAATCTGGTCCGTTGTGCACAACAGTGTTGGAGAAAAAACTAGCTAGCACTGCATATGGGTAAAAAAGTTTGTCACTTTTCTTAGTCTATACACAGATTTTGGTTGTTTAGTTTTCAGAAAATTGGCATTCACATTCAATTAAATAAAGTATAAAGTAAAGTATAACCATATAATTATGTCTCTGTCTCCAAAGTGAAATCATATTTGGAGTGGAAAAACTGCTGAGAAAACCCTGAAAGCAATGTACTGGCTCATACAGAGTCCACACCTGAATATTATTAGTTCTGTAGTATCATACAGGTGGATTTTCACATTGATAGAAGAGATTTACTCAAGAGTAGAAGGCTGAATGTTCAAAACAGTTCCACCAACATGTTGGTATAGGATGGAACTCAAATCTGAAAGGAAGGTGACCTCTAGTAAACTTTCTTTGACCAACAGTACAGTAGTGTTAGTACTAATGCTGATATCTCATGTGCTGATAGGAAGAAACTGGAATTAGCTTCATTTACATATAATGAAACTTTAGGTACTAATAAAGACACGCTGAATTTTTTGCCTCTAGAGGACGCTTAGTCACAAAAACTGCGTTGTTTGATGCCCTGCCTGAATGTGGAATCATGGGTGTTGTCATCTTTATTACATTGGCCCCCAGCGCCGGTAGTTGGGGAGGTGTCGCAAACGAAAGTGAAGAACGGGGGATGAGTAGGGGGTTGGGATGTCGTGGGAGGGTGGGAGTGAATTGGGCTTTAGTTGTCACAAGCGTAAGTGTAGAACGAGGGTTGTCGTGAACAAAATTAGGGGCCTACTCACACTATGTACAGTTGCCTTGAACCGGGCCAAAGCATGCTTGCTCCACTCCCGTCTCCCCTGACGACCTGCTCGCACATTACATTCGGGCCTGTGCACGCTTACGTCATCGATGATGCGCTGTTCAGTAAGTGCTTTCGCTCAGCTCAGTGGAGTTTTCTTCAGTTATATCATTTAAGTCGTTTGAGATGCTGTGACACTTTTAACGCTCATGAACAATCATAAAGCCCTCGTGCTGCAGGAATTAGGAGGTTTGCTGAAGGTGCAGCTGTCGTTCAGTGAGGGGTTTGCATCTTCAATAAACTACGACAGTTTCGTATTCAAAGAACAGTAAGAATGATTAATAAATCCGTAGCAAACTGTCCCTTAAAAGTCACGTCTCGCTTTCAGTTTCAGGCTCAGGCATGTTTTGCACTCACACACAAGCGGATCATGGCAAAGCCCAAGTGAAACACCCTGAGCCCAATTTAGAGCGCTCACACTTCTCAAACAATCCCGGAAATGGGCCTGGTCACGATTTGGATAGTGTGAGTAGGCCCTAAAGAGCTGGTGATGGGGTGGGTGGGTTGTGGGGGTACTGGATGTCACAGAAATGAAGAGTGCCGGTGGTTGGGGCGGTGTCGCAAACGAAAATGAGAAGCGGCAGATGGGTAGGGGGTTGGGATGTCACGGGGGTTGGGGTTGGTGAGACATACCTGCAAACAGTTACAGACTGTTCCAAAAATGGGAGTGTTGGCTGGGATTCGGGGGCGGGGGTGGTGTGGTGGATGTTTGGACTATAAAAGTCGCGTTGTTTCATGAATGCGCGTTGTTATGAGAATATTAACATTCTTGCAAACCCCATGCCAAACAAGAAATAGTACTATTGGCACTAATGGTACTATTGAAACTCAAGCATGATCAGGGTGGCATAAGAGACCAATATGGACTAATTCAGTACCAGTTTTGCAAAGATATCGCCCCAACTACAGCTCTCATATCTTTATATCTGAGAGTGCAGCGTAAAGCTTTCATAACAGAGAAGGAGTCAGTGTTTGTGTGGGTACATTCATCAGTGTGTGCCACTATGAAACACTTTAAAGCCACAGAGAGCGCACTGGCACAGTGCCGTGCTGGCCATTAAGCAAGCATCTTTTAGTCACTGTTGGCACTTGTGCCTCTTTGGTGCTGAGAGACCCAGCAGAAAACACTCAATCTGCGGAGGACGTTAAACCCAGATGGCGATCTCACTTGTGCACAGATAACAGCGGGCATCAAAGAGGGCAGAGAAGGTGGCAAAAGAAAATAGGTCACTCTCAAAACAGTGCCTCGTTACTCAAGCCTTCTCTAGAAAAGTTTTTCATGGAGCTTTTTAAGAAGAGATGCACGGTCCCACTTTTACTATGTACTGGCATCAGTATGTAAATACAATGTACTTGTTCTGTTTATAATGTATTGCAGAACACTTCTGGTGCTCTTGAGGTCAGGTTAAGGGCAGGTTTGGTGGTATGGGTAGATTTAAGGGTAGGTTAAGGTGTAAGGGATGGTCAGTAGTGTAATAATGAATGAAATTACAGATATTAATTACATGAAGGTATTTAATCAAGCATAACTACAATGTAATATGTAATTACACAATAAGTACATTATAACAAATGATTAATTTCATCTGATTATATAATCTAATAATACCCAATGATATCTATAATATCATCTGATAATCGTAAGAAGTCCAAAAGGCGACTGATTGTGTAAAGAAACATAAAACAGAACAAAAATATGATGACTATGCCGAGTTCAGTGGCTAATCTGCCGGAGTCAGCTGAGTGAAGTGATGGGACCAGCGAGACCTAGCTGTCACTCAAGTGGCCACGCCCTTAATTATG